ATGATCGCTTAAGCGAAGTGGAAAGCACAAATTGTTGCAATGACCATCTAATAGGCATTTTGGAACAAAATAATTGGCAACAAAAAGTAAAATGAATCAATTCAACGAGGAATAAGTTTTATACCTTTTGTTCATGTGATAATATGTTGTCTTAAATGAATTTCATGAAAGTGAAACATATTGGGAATAATTATGCCTGGAATTAACTGTATCATGAGAAAGGAATTGAGGATAAACTTCGCAGCGATGGACGCCACCTAATCAATGCTTAAACGCCACAAACTTCTTCATGGAATATTTTCTTTAACATCCCATGAATTTATGTGGCCTTTTACGAATGATCATTTGCTCAGTTGTACATAGACATCATAGTCGATACTTTATTTTTCCGCTAAGAATTAGTCAACTATCTCATCATTTGGTGAACTTTTAGTGTCGCTTTATAATTTTGCGATCAAAGATATTTGTTGGAAAATTCTCGACGATTTTTATTCAATAAGCAAAAACAATAGAAAACAACTGAATTCTTACAAGAGTTTAAATAGCAACAAATAAGACGAAAACCCTACAATTGAAATCTAACTTAAAATTGCTTTGCAATTTGACCTCGAGCGCGTGCACACAACCTTAAATTGCGAGAGGAAGAAAAAAATTATTTAGCTCCTGTTTGGTTTAAATAAAAATTAATTTTAGTACATTTTGATAAAATTTGTGTTATTTAATGTATTTTGATAAAATTTTAATAAGCTTTTTAGTTGAACTAAACACGGGATTACTATATAGGTTGATGCTATTCAGAGTGAAAACTATCGGTAGTTGCTCCACTTGTATTATTTAATGCATTGATGTGATAGTTTTTTATTGTCTCATTCATCAAATAACAAACTGTCATGTATATAATACATAAGTCGACTATCGATAGTTTTCACTGTGAATAACATTATTTTAATATATATTTTTCACTTGACGAGACTAAGTGCATCTCACTAATTTGGAAAAAAAAAAGAGTTTTGAATAGTATTTTTAAGAGAATGTAATTAAAAAGTAGAAAATTATTTTTGATATACATGTAGAATATTTTATTATAAATTTGTGATTGAAAATAATCATATAACAAATTATAAAATTAATTAATGAGTGTCAAACAAGCACTAGATATCACCTGCCTTTAGGAATATTTTTCAATCCAATGTAGGAGTGAAACTTGTCAGTAATCCATACCCGTGGTTTCGTGCATTCAGTGTATTGTAATGAGAAAATTACGGATTTCCCGAAATCAGGAATATTGGAATAAAGTAGCCACAAACAAAAATGTGGAAAAATCACTGGTTTTGAAACCAATTATTAGGCCTAGTAACATTAGAATTGTGCAGTTAAAAGAACTAAATCTATTCATTATTAACTCGAACGATCGACATTATAAAGGGTCCCACGAAGAACATATTCCAAGTACAGGAGCAGTTATTTTTTTTTTAAATGAAGAAGAAATGTAAAGAAAGAAATTTCAACCATTATAAAAAGCCATCCCACCCGTCATTTGGTGTAGTACAAAGAAGTTTTCCGACTCTAAGGGATGTTCTTGTTGTGTTTCAATATTGTGTGTTGAGTTTTGAATTGATTTTTGGGTTTTGTGTTTTGAGTGTTAATTTCGAGATTGTTAAAAATGTGTTTTTTTTGGTATTTTGAAAAATTGTTATGCAAACACCCAAAACGCGTTTTGAAAATTTTGACTTGATTATAAATTTTGAGTTTTCTTTGGAAATTTTTAACTTGTTTTCAAAAATGCGATTTCGAAAATAATAAAGAGAACTGTTTTTAAAAATCGAAAACAGAAAATGGCTTGAAAATGGTAAAGAGAACACGTCCTAAATCACTTCGACTTAGCACGACCTTCAAGCATCTGGAAATACCAGGTTTGCGAAGAACGATGGGGGCTAATATTTCAAATGAATATGACTTCGGTGGATCAGCAATGAACAAGGGACTTGTTCCATCCGATGGATTATCAGCAAACAATGGTCGGGTTGTTGTATCCAATGGATCTTCATCAAACACTGGTCGGTTTATTTCTTTCCACTCCTCGAAATGGAAGATCCATTTTGAAGCCTCTAAGCTGACTTCAAATCTGGTAACCTCATAAGCCTTTAGATGAAGTGGTCGTATCACAGCAAACAAAAGACTGAAGTTCAAATCTTCCATTTACGAATATTGTTCACGTGTAAACTAAATAAATGTGTCCGTTATTTCACAGTTAAACTTTTAGATGAATGATATCTTGACTTCATGATTAGCTGATAACAATGTTTTTACTTTGTGAGATCAGATGGTCATCGACTTCACGACTTCATGGTGTGGACCTTGCCGATACATGGAACCTGCTATGAATGAATTTGCTGCTATGTATACAGATGTTGAGTTCATCAAGATCGATGTCGATGAGTTGGAAGTAAGATAGTTTTCATTTTTCCTTCGATATTCGAGCATTTCCCATTTAATTTCAGTTAAATGTTTATGATTAAAATGTAAAAAATTGTAAACAGGATGCGGCTCAGGAATTTGAAGTTCATGTTTTGCCAACTTTCATGCTGATAAAGAAAGGAAAAGAAGTTGATAAGCTTGTTGGAGCCAACAAAGAAGAACTCAGGAAGAAGATTGAGAAACAGAGGGCCTGATATGGCCCCCCCAACCCACTCCACCCTACCCTATGAAAATGGTTTTCCTATATACAATTCCCTTAGGATTGACGATTGGTCATTAATTCATGTATGAGAAATGCTAATTGGCTGACCGGCCCCCACTGTTGTGAGGGGCCGGTCAGGGGTGTCATCAAACCCCCCGGTAATCAT